TTAGTGCACCTTTTCAGCCTTGATCATTGTACACAACTTCGTTCAAAAATATTACTTGATGCGCAGTGGTCATATTTACAATGCAGGACATTTCATATTTATACATCAACCTTCCACATAGTATTAAGCTACTTCGGCGATTTGAACTAAAACGGTTCAAGGACGAATGTCCCTCCTACACCTCCGCAATGTTTGGTATGTCACAGGTATGTTGAAGCTTATCGCGCGCGCTGCCGGCAGTTTGTATTTTTGGAATGCACGCTGAGATGTTATCCGAACGCCTCTCAATGTAAGAAAGTCTATCGCTATTTTTGAAAACTGCTTGCGTGTATATCCTGAACCGGCCGTCAATAAATCAATATAGAAATGCACAAGTGTATCTGTAGTACTGCCATATTACTTGTTTACTGTAGACAGTACACACAAACTTTATCATTTCTGAATATATATAGCTTGTAAATAGCGTGCCGGATGTGGGGATCCCCAGTGCTATTCATTGGTATTTAATCGTAAGTTCGGCACAGTTAGCTTAATTTTCTATCCTTAACATTCTCAATTTGCATTTGTATATTTCTTAAAATATTTACTATTTCGATTATTCTTTATTGGGTTGATATCTGTGAAACACTAGCAAATGATATATCTGTTCTTATAAACCAAAACGAGGAATTAACGGGAAAATATGTATCGATTAAGTTTAAGTCTGATACACATGCTGGATAAGATCTTTAATGAGTCTGATATAGGTTTTATTATTGATTGGAATGAGAAGGATTTGATTATGACACGTGAACATTCCTCGCCGTTTAATCATGGTTGTTTCCGTACGTCAGTGAACTTGTCTAGTTCCGGTCCGGCGGAGGACGGATGTGGTGCAGTGGAACCGCGGCATTGTTTTCTGTACGCATGGGCGTGTATGTGCTTGATGGTGGAGGGAGCATAATAGAGCATTTTCTATGTCTATTCATCCTTTGTGTAATAGAACACCGAAGTATGAAAAGTATGAAAAATATGAACAAAAGAAAATTTACACAGATAACCTTGAAAAGTACAAGAACAACACCATATTCTGAAGCGAAAGTATCTTCAATATCTACCACATTCATATAACAAAAGATATATCTAATTAATCCAAATGAGATCATTATGGCGACCATACACTTGTCCCTAATCATTGCTGGCGGAAAAGCTCAACCAGGGAATTCAAAGGTTCGGGTTGCTAAAGACGACGGACAAGATATATGGTCGCCATCTTATTGGAAAATATTCTGTTTAATTGTTTTGGCATGACTAACTCTTTGTTATACTTGTTACTTGGAGAATGTGATGTTTCTAGAAATGACGTAGATTTACCTGTCATGTGTCTTCGATGAAGCAGGCAATCTTCTTACCCTTCTGGAACACATGGTCCTCTTCTTGTACTTTGACCTTCAAATGTTAACTTTCTTGATATGAATAGTTTCATCGGTTTTGGTTGAAATTACGGGTTTTAACACTTCGGTATATTCTTCTTTTATTTTCTTACCTTCATCTCTTGAAACCCTGTGGTTTAATTTTATTCGTTTAGCATAGTTCACCATCTATCACGGTAATACACTATTTGGATATCGAGGCAAATGCGATATATCGACACCGCGGGTAGGAAAAGCATAGATGTTAATATCAAGAAAGTTCATAATAGGAAAATAGAATTATCAGTTAAGATCGTGTATCCAAGTCGAAGTCGCAGTAACCGTAAAAAGCGTTTAGGCCCGATTAAGTTAACCTTGTTAGAATTCATCAGAATCCTGAACGAGTTTGCATCGTACGTTTCCGAACTCAAATTTGACGGACAGAAGGCATGTGGCCGGCGGAGGCATTGATGTCTAACAGAACTTTAAAATGTAGAACTGTTTAAGAACAAACTCGCGATTATTCCAGGTTACAAAGTGTACAGACGCTAATCATTACGTACCTGAGAACTTACCTACAAGTGTTCATTACTTATAATATCTGGCAATCTGGAATTCTTAAAATAAAAGCGAAAACTACGCATGGAAGTTCTCCTTTTAAATTTATCATTCGGATGAATTATAAAGCAAAATATCAAAATTCCATGAAGAAATACATCATTTTTATCAAGGTTTGGACAGCTTACTGGCCATGCGTCATTGATAACGTCGTTCAGGCTCGCTAGGTATGAAATCAGTCGACATAATCTTTCCCTCCGTTTCAACTTAGATCGTAATGAATGTCCTCGGTAACCCGACCACTTAACAAGATATCATGTGTGTGTGCAAAGTCCTAGGTATAATGTATATCTAATGTAACATGTTTTGTATAAAATACAACATGTTTTTAATATAACACTTTTTTCACATAATGTTACATCTTTATATTCATAGCATCTTGTTTTATAAATAATATAACTAAAATATATAAAAATGTTACTATAATATGTAAAATATAACTTTATACATATAATATAACATAATTTTGTTAATTGTGAAAACAATTTATATGAAAAGTTTAATATTCCTTCTCAATAAATTGTTAAACGTTTTATACAACTTAATTGGGTTTAATGAAAACTTAACGTATTTTCATATTCATTATGTAGCATGACTTATATATAGATAAAAAAAATATGTTTGTATATAATTTATAGATCATATAACTGGTGCTGTATGTAATTTATAGATCATGTAACTGGTGCTGTATATAATTTATAGACCATGTAACTGGTGCTGTATATGATTTATAGATCATGTAACTGGTGCTGTATATAATTTAGAGATCATGTAACTGGTGCTGTATATAATTTATAGATCATGTAACTGGTGCTGTATATAATTTACAGGATTTGCATATATTGTTACGTATTATATATATATATTTCAGAAATGGTGCTTTGTGATTTATTAGAGTTTTTATTGCGACGAGTTTTGAGTATTCATGTAATGCCTTTGATATGCTATGTAAATTATTTGTCAAAACTTCGTTACTTGATATTACAAAAAAAAACCAATATTATATAACAAGTTATGTTTTTACGAATCACGATGTACAAAATATATAACGTATAAAACATAAGTACTATAACGATATGGTGTACCATAAATTATAAATAATTTATAATGCAAACACGTATATGTTACAGCGTTATATTTTATATCCTATTATATACTTTATTCGCTTTTATAATTTGTATAAACAGTATCTTTTATATTGCCGTTAAGGTATTACACTTCACACGACACCTCAAACACTATATTTGTGTACGTAAGCGCTTTTTATTGCTATCATGTGGATACACAATGTTAAAGTCTCATTATTGTATTAATAGACACATTATATTACTATTTCAACAATATACTTAATTTTGTATATACTTTATCTATATTATGTATACAATTTATCTATAACATACACGACGTATATCTTATTACGCAGAAGATTCTTCCCTGCGTTAAATAGATTTTGACTGATTCCTTTGAATTGTCTGTTTATCTTTTTTCACGATGTAATGGATAAACTATAATTAAGCTGTAAGACCGGATATAGTGGTGTAATCGATGAAGTATAATTAAGCCGTAAGACCGGATATAGTGGTGTAATCGATGAAGTATAATTAAGACGTAAGACCGGCTATAGTGGTGTAATCGATAAACTATAATAAGGCCGCAAGACCGGATATAGTGGTGTAATCGATAAACTATAAATAAGCCGTAAGACTGGATATAGTGGTGTAATCGATGAAGTATAATTAAGACGTAAGACCGGCTATAGTGGTGTAATCGATAAACTATAATAAGGCCGCAAGACCGGATATAGTGGTGTAATCGATAAACTGTAAATAAGCCGTAAGACCGGATAAAGTGGTGTAATTGATAAAGTATGATTAAGTCGTAAGACCGGCTATAGTGGTGTAATCGATAAAGTATAATAAAGCCGTAAGACCGGATATAGGGGTGTAATCGATAAAGTATAATTAAGCCTTTAGACAGGATATAGTGGTGTAATCGATAAACTATAATAAGGCCGCAAGACCGGATATAGTGATGTATTCGATAAAGTATAATAAGGCCGCAAGACCGGATATAGTGGTGTTATCGATGAAGTATAATTAAGCCGTAAGACCAGATATAGTGGTGTAATCGATAAAGTATGATTAAGCCGTAAGACCGGATATAGTGGTGTAATCGATAAAGTATAATTAAGCCGTAAGACCGGATATAGACGTGTAATCGATAAAGTATAATAAAGCCGTAAGACCGGATATAGACGTGTAATCGATAAAGTAAAATAAAGCCGTAAGACCGGATATAGTGGTGTAATCGATGAAGTATAATTAAGCCGTAAGACCGGATATAGTGGTGTAATCGATAAAGTATAATTAAGCCGTAAGACCGGTATAGACGTGTAATCGATAAAGTATAATTAACCCGTAAGACCGCATATAGACGTGTAATCGATAAAGTATAATTAAGCCGTAAGACCGCATATAGACGTGTAATCGATAAAGTATAATTAAGCCGTAAGACCGGATATAATGGTGTAATCGAAGAAATCACGTGTGTTCCGGAGTTTCCTCCGTAGTTGTATTAGTTTCATCCACGATGATAGCCGAGAATCCCGGCTATTATATATAGTATTTTTATCCAAGCGTACGATACGCCAGTTAGTATCTATGTGTTGGAATGGAATGTTTGTCAATAAATTCATCATATACAGTATTACAGAAAATTCTTTTCTCCGACGTTTATCATATTATCTGTAGCTGGCCCCTATCTCCTCCCACCGATACCATCAGGTCTCATGTATGTACACAGACATTGATATAAAGGTCCGCTTTGATTAATTCTTTAAACTTTTCTTAATGTTGGCTGAAGAAGGAACTATGATTTGATCCTCAATCAAACCCAGAGAGACTATGTTTAGTATAATTATAAACTATTATTGATGATGTGTGTGTGACTCTTAAACAACTAATTTATACGGAGATTTTGACATATTAAAACATGAAACCTGTGTTTTACGGAACCTGTACATTGGATACACTAGCGGCGCGGTCTCTACTCTGGGTCCTACTGATTTCAAGGTAAGCTATATCATTGTTATCACAGTTTAAAATCTTATAAATAATAATAATAATTCGAGACTCTTATATACCGCTTTATCACAACCTAGTTCGTAGGTCGTCTCAAAGCAATTCACAAATTATTATCCGTGGTTATTATTATCATTATTATTTCCTTTATTTACTCCAGAAATGAAGAGTTACAGAAATAACGAACAATACACGTACAATTCAACACTATTGAAAACATCTAGCATTCAACAATTCTAGCACTGCTCAACCAGGTACTCATTTACAGCTGAGTAGACTGGAACAAGCGGAGTAAAATATCTTGCTCAAAGATACAACACAGTGCCGTGCCGTGACTCGAATCAGCACCCTTCGGTCACGAGCCCGGCGTCTCGCACGTTCTAAGATCTCGTCAGTATTTGAAGATGTAAATATTATGAGATTCACATTGATATGATTGTATTATTTAGACAATTTTAGAATTTAAAATATAAATATATGTCTGCACATAAAAATTTATATAAATAATATAAATATATAAGTATAACAAGCATATTTTTAAATATTGTTTTATCTATGACGTCAGTAAAATATATCACAGCTATAAGGAGTATGATAACGCATTCAGCATGGTCAGTTTTGTAGTATTTCGTATTATTAAGACATAAAAGTTTCCTATATACAAGTTTTTATATTGGTCCTTGCCGGGTCGTCTGGTATGTTTTACTATAATTTTGAAATACACTGTTTTTCAGTTGTTTCACCTTAACAACAGTAGTTTTAAGATCTATTTGATATTAAGCGCTCTAATATAGATATCATTATTTATAATTGTATCCAGTATTATGGTTATTAATCTCGTACCAGAGCAACTTCTGAACTTTACTTTATTTCTTTTGACGAAAGACGTTTAAGATTCATCCCTCTGTTAATTGATATTTAAAAACATCAATCAAATATTGGAATCAAGATATGTAATTTGAATATATTAAACTTGCATTTCAGTTATTAAAATGTCAATAGCCAAGTTAACTTAGTCTGTGGCAGTGCACTGAGGCCGATGTCTTCATAAAAATAATTCACTAACATGTCACTGTCTTTTACGAAACAGTTGAATGCTGCGAAATGGCATATAATTTAATATTCATCTATATAACTAGGTCATGCGGAGCTTAATTGTTCTTTTACTAGCCGTGAAGAGACATATCTGCTTCAAACAAACATGAACATGGCTTTGTGAGACCGCTTAAATCATGATTAAAGACTCCAATAAATAATATCAATATAAAACCAAGGGCTCTGTGACTATGCATATAAATTAATTTTATATAACGTGTACTTTTGTAATATTAAGTGTCGCTATAAATAAAGCTGGAATTGTTAAAACATTACAGCACTTTTCCTTGTCATTGTTTATAACCTGTAGCTCATTAACAACACAATCTAAAGGCCTTTATTTTTCTTTTCACAAATTTCTACAACATATTATTGAATATTTTGACTACGATTTTAGTGGTTTCGCAAGGTAAAATCCATCTTCAATTAAGGTCGGTATGCCTCTTCACGGCTAGCAAAAGAGACATTAGGCTCCGTATAACTTAGGTATATGAAAGATAATATGTTATATCGTTGTGTTCCGTTAAGTTCCAAAAGAGATAATGTTATAATGCTGGTAAACCATTTTGAAAATGACATCCACTTCGATGCCTTGCTATTGCCTACGATACTATAGCTACAATTATAACTAAATTACAACATCAATATATCCAAATTAAATGTCTGAATTCCAATTTTAAATTTGGATATTTATATAACACATATCATGGGGTTGAAATTTAGGGCAACCAAATTGTTTGTGGAACCGTAAATAGCTTGGCATAATAAAAGAGTTGTTTTGAAGAAAAAATAAGCCCTTGCTAAGAAGACGTCGTTAAAGTACATTTTGTCTAACAACGATCACCTGTAGAGCTATTCATGTGATACATTATACATGTTTACAGGTAACTTACGAGTGTGTAACAATGAATTGAGTGTCCACGTTGAATTCATTTAACCCTTCATTTTGTTCCTCGGGATGGGATTTAGAAGTGTATGATAAGTCATCGCGCGCACTTTAAGTATGTGATACACCTATTTTTTACGTTAACAAAATCATAAATACTATGCTCAGGATAGAGACAATCAGCGGCCACCTGTTTTAATAGCTTATTGTCTTTGCTAACGTGTTAATTGGTTATTGTCTTTGCTAACGTGTTAATTGGTTATTGTCTTTGCTAACGTGTTAATAG